TACACAAGAACTCATACAAGTGATCATGAAACAACCCAATTTCTCTGAGTGAAGGTAAAAAAGACTGCCACTATTTTCAGTGGTGTTAGTTTGTTTACCAAGGAACAGCCAGCATGTTAACAAATCTCTTCCATGGTCTGCTCTGAGGTAAAAAATTCTCAAGTCTCAAATCTCAATGATGGCTTCTTCATTGGCTGTGATGAACTCTTCTTTTTTCTGGTTTCCAGCCAATCTGAACGGATGAGAATCCTTTACGTACACTAGACTTTTGATTTTTCAAAAATGTCTTCTTATAACATATTCAGCTGAGAAATGACGTCAAGAAAAGTTTCTTCTTCACAGGGAATTGTCAAACCACCCATGGCATGGTTAAAACCAAACTCTTCCTCAGCTTTCCTAGCAACATCTGAAATACATGGTGACTTAAATAGGATATTGGAACCATAAATCTCTTCCTCTGATCTCCAACATAAACTGCAAGGAACCCTTTTGGCACTTCTGAAGATGATGAAGTCACCTTGCATAGAATTGGCTTAGCAATAGCACCAGGCAAACGGAACCCCATTGCTTCTAGAGCTATTGAAGAAAATTTGAAAAAGGGGGCAGTTGTGAGAACTTGAGTTATCCAAAGAGAAGATTTCAAACGAGGATTTGAATGTGAAGAACCGAGTTGGTTCTGGCCACAAAAAATATGCGGAGGTAAATATAGATGAAACAGGTGGGAGAAATCCTTTAAAAATTTGGAAAGCAGTGGCTGAGTACCATTTCCTGGGTACTACCTTGGGACATAATTCATGAGGGATTCACATGGTTCTACTTTCCATCTGATTAATAAACTTCAGGGTCTGCCAAATTACATTATGCTTGCCTTAACAAACAGCTTACCCCACAACATTGAAAGTTCGCCAATGAAGGAGCACATAAAGATATGTGTCATCATAGTTGGATTTTGATCCTTAGATAAGGGGCATTCTGAAGACAATAAGTTCGGCTCATGCTCCAATGATGATGGTGATCAAATGCCAAGCAAGAAAGATACTTGATATGGCCTGCTGCACGGGGAATCACGGGAAAGAACCAACCAAAGCAACAAATATTGAAATGAACATTCCTTTTCCGAGTACCATTTGCATTCTTATTTCTATGTCTCATTTCCTGCTTGATATTATCATTCTCGACTCATTCATATAGGCAAGCTACCCTATACAATTATATAAATTCTGACATTTTAAGGATCTTGCTGATCTTGGAAATTTATAGTCTAAAAAATTTAACTTATTATTTCAAAATGTGGCAATTGACATACCACACAACTCACAAGGGTAAAAGTCAATACTTGCTCAAGAAATAGAAGAGGAAAAAGGAATAAATTGACAAATGCAGATGAAAAATTAAAGAAAATTGCCATTGGTCGTGACATATCTCAAGAGCATATGACACGGTTTTGTCTTCCAACTTGTCCAGAAAACATTAGTGGCCAAAATATCATATCTGTTGATTGACAGGTTGAATCGACAAAGTCACACCTAAACTTCAAAAATAAGCCAATGGAAGACTAGCTAAAGATTGTAAATGGATTCATCTCAATATTGATAAAGATGGAGAATTTATCTGATCCTAGATTGGGACTGTGCTTCCAGAAATGGAGAAGACAGAAAATCCCTAAGAAGTACTGAGCTAGTGGCGTTAAGGCAATTAAGGAGAGACATGGTCAGCCGAAGGTTCACATGGCTCTGTTTCCTTGCTCATGATTCAAGAATTTGGCACTTGGCAGCGTTGAGACTTCTTGATTAAGATGAATAAAAATCATCAAATTCTTCGATTCTTGATTTGTTTGATCTCTTGGCATGGAAGACATGAAAGATGAAACCCCGGTCAAAACATGTGAAAGTGTGTTCTGCTGCTAGTTCCTATCAGCACACACCACTCTAGACCACTAGTAAGACAAATGTCATTGGTATCCTCAGGACTAAAGGAGGGAACCAACCTCCATGAACTCTTATTATGGTTATACTTCCAGTTCCTATAAACAAGGGGAAATGCTAACCTTAATGAAGCCTAAAGGTTCTTTTACAGTTGGACTGGTAAAATGTAAGCTGTAAAAGGGCTTATGTGGGTCGAAACTTGACATGTATCTCTGAACTGCCAATTTATATTAGCAGTCTCCATTGGTATATTAGTTAATATGGGCTTAAGAAAGACACGAAAAATAAATTATAGAAAAGAAAATGCATAAAATTCAGAGAGGATTTTCATTTTCTGTCGTTCCAGGTTTATGTATTAAATGGCTACAAGTGATAAAATGATATTGAAGAATGAATAACACTTGTTTAATATTTTCAAATGGAGAGATTTTCCTCAAAATTCCTATATAGTTTAAACAAGAAATCATACAGGAGTTCATGAAACAATCCAATTTTCCATTGTCAGGATTAAAGAGATTTTTATTTTGGTCAGTGTTGGTTATACTCCCAGGAGTAGGCAACATTTTCCACTCCTCTTACGGCCAGCTCCAGGGTAAAATGAGATCTCAATGATGGCTTTTTTAGTGAAAATTAAGGCTGAACTTTCCTTTCTGCTTTCAGCCAATCCAAACAGATGAGTATCCTTCAGGCTCCTTATAATGCTGCTTTTTTGTTTTTTTTTTTTTCCTCTTACAATATATTCAGCTGAGAAGTGACATTGAGGAAAGTTTCTTCTTTGCAGGGGGATTGTTAAACCACCTGTGGGATGGTTAAAACCAAACTCTTCTTCAGCTTTCCTCAGCAACACCTGAAATGCATGGTGGCTTAAATAGGATATTGGAACCACAAATCTCTTCCTCTCATCTCCAACATAAATTGCAAAGAACCCTTTTGGTACCTCTGAACATGATGAAGTTGGCTTGTGGAGAATTGGCTTGGCAATAGCACTAGGCAAACAAAATCCCATTGCTTCTAGAGTTAAGAAGAAAAGCTTGAGAAGTTCTTGTGAAAACTTGAGTACTAATCCGAAGAAAAGACTTCAAAAGAGGATTTGAATGTGAGTAGCTGAGTTGGTTGTGGCTACAACAAATATGTAGAAGTATATATAGAACAAATCAGAAGAAACACCCAAAGAAATTTTGGAGTGGATGTAGTATCATTCCCCGGTACTTCCTTGGGACAATATTCACCAGGAAATCACATGATTCTGCCCTCCACCTTATTAACAAACTTTAGAATCTGTCAACTGCTTAACAAACATCATACCCCACAACACTGAAACTTCTCCAGTTGATAACCAGCTTAAATTGTGCATTACCATTGTCGGATTGATGACCTTTAGATAAGGGACATGCTTGAGAAGGAATAGTAGAAATAAACTAAATACAGCAGCATAGATTGAAATGAACATTCATTTTCCAAGTACAATTTGACTTGATTTAGATTTCAATGTTATTTCCTTGTTCCATTCCCTTGTATTTATAATCACTCTTGGCCCCTCAAGCATTCATGTAAGAAATACAGTAAATCTTGGTAAACTCTCTAGGGAAGAAACCATATGCTTTTGAATTGAATTTTCAGTCAGAAAATTCAGCACTTGCTCATGACATACCTAAAGAGAGTATATCACATAGTCTTGTCTTCCAACTAGTCCAAAAAATATTAGGTTCTAAAAATCATATTCTTTCCATTGACAGAGCAGTGACCTAGAATTTGTAATATAAGCCATGGAAGACCAGCTAAAGATTGGAAATGGAAGGTCAATACTCCGCATTGATAAAGGTGGAGAATTACCTGATCCTGGATTTGGACTATGCTTCAGACAAGGAGGAAACCGGAAATCCCTTTAAACATTGAACTAGTGGTCTAGAGGCATTTGAGGAGATGCATGATTACCTAAAGTTCACATGATTTTGTCTCCCACACCAAAATCAAGACATTGGCAGTGATTTAGACTTCTTATAAAGATGAATAATATCAGAAAACTTGAATTCCCTTTTTTTTCTTTTTTCTTTTTTTTTGAGTCAAGAAAACTTTAATTCTTCATTGTTTGATTCTTGGAATGGAAGACATGAAAGACAAACCATGGTGAAGAGAATGTGAAGTGTGTCATACTGCTAGTCCCCATCAGCATAGACCATTTCAGACCACATGCAAGAGATGAATGTCATTCCGCACTCAAAGCAGGAAACCACCCTTCTTATTTCTTATGAATCCTTACTGATTTACTTGGGTTATTTAAATTCTAATAGGATAAGGCAAGGGGAAATGCTGGCCTTAGTGAAGCCTAACGTTCTTTTTCGGGAGACCAAGTATGTCATAAGCCTTACAATGGCTAGATTAGTTTGAACTTTTGGAATCTGTAAGTGCATAAATTCAGAAACCATTTTCCTTCTGGCATTGCAGGTGTTTGAGTTACATGAACATCAGTTATAACAAAATCTAGGGGAAGAAAGAATATCAGTTCAATAATTTCAGAAAAAATATTTGCCCAAAAAAATTTCCTTTAGAGGGCAAACAATAACTCATTCAAGAGTTCATGTAACAGCCGAATTTCACTGAGTCAAAGTTGTACAGACTGTCATTTTTGTCTGTGAGGTTAGCTTGCACTTCTAGGAATAGCCATTGTATTTCAACTTCTTTTCCATGGCCTGCTCCAAGGTGAAAATGGATCTTAATAACAGCTTCTTCAGTAGCTATGAGAGTCTGCATAAACACAATCAAGGCGGAACTCTTCTTTCTGCCATTGTAAACAGATAAATATCCTTTGGGAAACATTGGACTTCTGATTTTTCTTCAAGGAAAAAAACCTTCTTTCTTATGATGTATTCAGCTGAGAAGTGACATTAAGGAAAGTCTCTTCTTCACAAGGAATTGTCAAACCACCAGCAGGATGATTAAAACCAAACACTTCTTCAACTTTCTTTAGCAACATCTGGAATGAAGGGTGGCTTAAATAGGATATTGGAACCACAAATCTTTTCCTCTCATCTCCAACATAAACTGCAAAGAACCCTTTTGGTACTCCCAAAGATGTTGAGGTTGCCTTATGGATAATTGGCTTAGACAGAATAGCACCAAACAAACGAAAACCCATGACTAAGGACAAAAAAAAACTGGAAGGGTTTTTGAGAAAAAATGAGTTATCTGAAGAAAAGCTTTCAAAGGAGGATTTGAATATGAAGACCTAAGTGATTGATACCCAAAACAAATATGTGGAGGTATATATAGAAGAAGATGGATATAGAAATCTTCTAGGAATTTGGTAGGAGTGGCTAAGTACAACTTCCTGGACGCTCCCTTGGGACATAGTTCATGAGGGAACCACATGGTTCTGCCTTCCATCTAATTAACAAACTTCAAAGTTTGCCAAATTACATATGTCTGCCTTAACAAACAGCTTACCCCACAGCATTGAAAGTTCACCATTGAATGACCAAATAAAGATATGCATCAACATAGTTGGATTTTGATCCTTAGATAAAAGGACAGTCTAAAGACAATAAGTTCAGTAAATGTCTCTCTATCTGAGGATGATCAAATAACAAGCAAGCAAGAAACTGGATATAGCCCTGCAGTTTGCATTATGGGGAATGATAGAAAATAAATAAAGCCAAATAGATTGTGAAGAATATTCCTTTTCCCATTAGCATTTGACTTGATTAATCAATTTCAGATTTCAACATTGTCTCTGTGTCCCATTTCTGGTCTTTGTAATCATTTTTAACTCCTCAACCATTCACAAGAGAAGCCACCACATATAATTTCCTAAAGCATTTTTGAGTATGTATCTTGCTGATCTTGAAATTTCATAGGCTATAACTTCACTAATTATACCATGATGAGGATATCAATGTAACCAGCACTAACATACTTCATTGATCAAAACCAGAGAAACTGTCTGCTTTTGCATTTACTTTTGATTATGAAATTGTGTTCCTTAACCAATAATACAGAGCAATGACATAGGGATGTATATAATATTATGATCTGGTTTGCTTATGAAGTAATATGTGTACCTATAAATTATATAGATGGAAGACTAAACATGAAGATGGAGTTAAAGACATTAACATTAGCAGCTGAAAAGCACATGGTTCTATCTTCAGAGTTCGCCAATTCTAAAAGACTTAAGAGGGTATGCATGCTGGGACACTCCGTGCCCTACCTTTTCTTGGATAAAAAGAGTTCTTCATGGCAGGGTCTTGGTGGTTTTTCTGACTTGACTGGCTGTTCCCTTAGAATAAATTTCTAAAACATACAAATCTTATATTTAAGTCCAAGTTGGAGGCAAGAAGGAAACTGCATTTGTCCAAGTTGTGAACCAAAACCATTGGTAATGTATTATACAATGCTTTGCACGCATCAACAGACTTGCAAGACAAAACCATGTGAACATATAGACCAAGGATCAAAACGGTTTCAAGCCAAAATAAAAAATCAGTACTTAATTAAGTAGTTGCAAAAAAATATAGACCAAAAACATTTGTGGACACCACAAAATTTGATAAAAGAATAACTTCTATTGATAACTTTCTTGGAAGGATAGATATGTATCTTCTCATCTCTTACAGTCCCTCTGTGGAAGGGGAAGGAGGATGTACTTGAATCTACCAAATTTGTATGTGCCAATTAATTCTAACAAGATACTTAGAACAGCTTATTCAAGTGGGAAGTGAGGTCAATGAAGATGTCTTCTCTGCAAGGAATTGTGAGGCCACCCATAGGATGATTGAATCCAAATTCTTCCTCAGCTATGCTTAACAATTTCTGAAAACTAGGCTGATTCAAGTAATAAACCGGAACCACAAATCTCTTCTTTTCTCCCACTCCAACATAGACTGCCAAGTATCCTTTTGGAACATCTAATGGAGTGGAAGTTGCTTGGCTTGAAAACAGCTTTGACTGCCGCAGCATCTGCTTAGCATGTGTAACACTAGGAACCCGAATAGCCATTGCTATTTTTCTTTGTTAATTGTGAGAATAACTATCAGAATGTAATTGGAAGGTTTTGTTGCTAGATGAAGGAGGAAGATGTGAGAACTTGCTTTGGTTATAGATAAGGAATTGGTATATATAGATGGAAGAGCTAAAAGGATAAGCACTAGAGTGCGTGGTGTAGATGGGTCTTTGTGGGGTTTGGTTTGAGACATAAGCACATGTAGTATCAGATGGCCCATGGTTTTGCCTTCCAACTAATCATCAAGAATTAGGTATTAAACCCAAAGCCTTAAACTGTTACAACTACAAAAACCAGCTACAGCAGAACGGCAAGAGGAGAACAGCATTTATGACTTGTTTCCTACTCAAACTAATGGTATATATCTGTTCCTTCAGTAAATGGAATTGTAAGACAAGCCCCTCCGAAGGACATGGGAAGTGTGTCCTACAAGGCTACAACCAGCCATATCATAACCCAACAACTCACCGCATACTAACTCATCTATTTCATTGGCTTTGATAAACTGATGATATTGTGAACGAGAGAGAAAGAACCATTATCGGCCTCAGAAATTGGAAGACTTTCAGCATATCTGCCTTTAATTTGGCATACATAGCATAGGAAACATGTTATGTAACATTTCAAGTTAATTCTTTGGAGGTTAAAAGAAAAAAAAAAGTGGTTGTTCAATTGTCTGATTAATTTGATCCATCTATTTCATTAAAGGCTGATCAGATAGGACATTAATGCTGAATAGTCTACATCTTCAAAGTTCTACTGCTAAACAAACTTTGTGCCTTTATCATACAAGTTTATCTAAACTTATCTTGCACAAAATTAATTCTAGAAGAAGACACTGGAACAAGGAAGTCATTGGTTTTGCTTTTAACCAATTATGAAAAAATTATGTATTATATCATAATGTAATCTGTTACTGTTGCAATCTATCATGGCCAAGCACCACCGCAAGCAACAATATGGTCCATCAGAAAAACATAATTTTCATCGCCTGCCAATGGTGGTACTGCTATTACTCAACTTACAGTGTGGATAGAAGATTGTTTTGTAGAGATTAAGAGTCAAAATATCATATCTATTTTAGCAATTAAACGCCGGTCTACTACATACATACGAAATTGGTGTTCATATCAGTGGCCTTGAGCATTAAAGCCTCCTAGGCAAACTCTAGTTAATTATACATGTTCATGTAATTCACCAAGAGTTCTACAAACTGCAGGTGAGATTGATGAAGACTTCTTTACTGCAAGGGATAGTGACACCCCCCATTGGATGATTAAACCCAAACTCTTCTTCAGCTTGACCTAGCATGGTTTGGAATGAAGGATGGTTCAAGTATGAGATTGGAAGGACAAATCTTTTCTTTTCATTCTTTCCAACATAAACAGAAAAGTGACCTCTAGGCACACCAGTGCTTTCTGGAGATGAGAGAATTTGTTGCAAAAGCTGCTTGACTTTAACAATCCTAGGAAAGAGGAAAGCCATGACTTGGTTGAATTGTAGCTGAAACTTCAAACTATGGAAAGTAGGAGAAGAATTTTATGCGTTGCATATTGTAGCTAGGCCAAGAGGTATATATAATCTGAGTTTTCCTTGACCAGTAAACCAAAATGGATTAAGTGGAAAAGGGGCAACTAAAGTGGGTTCTGTTTAAAGACATCAGTTGTGAGGAATCACATGGCTTTGCCTGCCAACTCTCTATAAGATTTTCATGGATTTGGTAACTATGCTTTTGCAGACATAAATGATGAATGATTATCATGGCCTACACCAAATTGACGCGTCATCAACTTTATGGTTACAACACATATCCAATAGACTAGTCAGATTCAAAGACAGACAATTAGAAACGAGAGGCAGATCAAGTTGCTGGTATTCTAATACTAAACAGTCTATCACCATGGTATATTGTTAATTTCTGCAGTAAACTAAAGAACACACTAATCTGGAAATTTATGAGCTTCTCGGATGTGGAGCTCTATTTCATTGCAGATAGATAACTGACATACACAGCAACTTATATATTACAGTTTTTTCATAAAGGATAAAAATAACTACTCCTAATGCAGCTAACTTGTAGAACTAACTGCAGAAAACAAAAAACCAGTTACAAATTAAAAAAGCATAACTGCTGTTAACTGATATCTTCAACATATATGTTGCTCGATTTTCTGATCAAACAAACAGAATGGCCCTACCACATGCTTCAAAGAAGCACAATGAAATTATATACCAATTCATGTGAAGTTGTTTTATAACAAGCTTACGTGATGATTTAGTTGGCAACAAGCATAATAGTCTCCAGGGCCTAATTTTGAAGGGATGATTGGTTGAACAGGAGCATGGTTTGCAATAATTATCTGTCTAGTCACAAATTGATTGATTACAATAAGTTTTCCTCTGCTGTCCCTACTACTGAAAAGAATCAATTAGTATAACAATTCAAAATCTCCAAATGATAACAGTACCAAAAAGACAATGATATTGCTTTCACTTTGTGTGTTCATGCATATAATTACATATACTGTTTGTGCATCCATTGAACTCTAGAAGACTTTGATGAGAATGTACACGACATGTCTAGAAGACACAGTTATCGAAAGTAATCAGATAACCAGACTGAAATATTCCAATTGAAGTAAACACAGTAGAAAAAGTTAGTCTCCATTTTCTGTTACAGTCATCAAGAATCAGTTCTGCGACAAAAACAGATATGTCATGTTTTGAAACACAGTAGTCAAACCTTCATAAACAATATAGTTAGAAGAAAACTGCTACTTAATTGAAATTTTGAAATAAGTTTAGCTGACTTTTTGTTAGTCCAAATAGACCAAGTCCCTAGTGGATATAACCTTAATAAGTAAGGAAGACACTATTACAAAAGCTAGATGATCTAAAATGGTCTTAAGATTCGCTTCATTATTTGGGACAAAAGCTGTCGACGAGAGCATGCAATAACCCTCAAAAGTATGTTTGGTAGTTGGCAAGAAGAAAGCAACATTGTCACTACAAGTCTAAGTTCAATGCTTCTATGAATTAAGGGAAAATGGAAAGCTCTTATGTCCCAAGGCCAAGACGAGCAGTCTTCGATTTCAAGAACATGCATGGCATCATAAACTCTCTGTTCTATAATCAAAATAAAATACAGGGGAGATAGCCCTGTATCAATCACAAGTTCCCCTTGTTATTTTTTGGCTCCTTCAGGTTGTAGGGCATAGTGTCTTACAGAAGACAAAGCAAAACCATGTGATGCTGAACTATTTACTTCACCTGATAGGTTTCTCTAGACTTTCTTTCAGTAAGCTGTCTCATCATCCCTTTTCCAATTTTAAGGTTTGAAATCTCCCCTATATATATTTAGGTACTAAACATAACAAATTCAACCCAATTCCTACATATTCAACATAGGCCAAAGCTCCAATATTTTTTCTCTTTCTTTACCTTAATTTCTCCAGTGTTTTCCGATATGGGAATCCAATTAGCAGGCCTAGTACATGCAAAGCAAAAGCTCCAGAGAACTCTCTCGGGACGAATTAGAAATGTGTTGGCAAATGCAAATGTTCCTAAGGGACACATTGCAGTGTGTGTTGGAGAAGGAAACCAGAGACGATTTGTGATTCCAATATCTTACTTGAAACATCCGCTATTCCAAGACCTACTGAATCGAGCTGAGGAAGAATTTGGATTCAATCATCCTACCGACAGCCTCACCATTCCATGCGGTGAAGAATACTTCATTAGTCTCATTACAACCCAGCTGCTCATAGATGGCCATGCCATAGCCAAGGCAAAGCCAAAAAGGCAGTCTCTTCAAATTTGTTTTACTTTGCAATTCTGGATAATTGAATTTCCTCTGGATATTCTCCAATTTGTAGATAAATTACTGACAAAATAAAATTATCATTCTTTGCCGTTAAAATTTAAAACTACACATTTATCTGTGTGCATATTTACTGTCAGAAATACATTACCTATACTAACAGATAAAAAAATCTGTCACTATTAAATATCTACAGGCTATGGCAATGGATATAAGGGATAATTCTCCCACTCATTTTAAGGTTCGGATTCAAGAATATTATCTTGAAACCTTAAATTCTTAATATTGTTCATTTGATTTAGCTGGCAGATATAGTTAAAAGTATAGTTCAATCTAATTAGAAAAGACAATTATTTTAGAAACAGCTTAATCAAATCAAATCAAATCAAATTAGTAGGCTAGTATTGATTTATTCCTCACATTATGTACAAATTATTTAGGCTCAGATCAATTAATAAACCAAAAGAAGTGGCAAAACTTGAATCACTTGAAAAAAAAAAAAAAAGGGCAAAAAGAAAAGAAACAAGTCAATTCAAGAATGACTTATTCGAGAAGAAAGATGCAGGAAATCATCTTCGGTGCAGGGAATCATGAGACCGGAGGCCGGACGATCAAAGCCGAACTCTTCTTCAGCCTGACTAAGCAGAGCTTGGAACAGGGGATTCTTCAGGTACGATATAGGCACTACAAACCGCTTGTTCTCATTCTCGTCCCCTACGTATACTGCAAAATGGCCTTTTGGAACGTCCGCCACAGCCGGTGAATGGCCGCAGGAGGATGGCTGATGCTTCCCCGCGGACCGCCTCCGGATAATCTGCTTCGCATGAAGAACCAACTCCGGTAATCTAACACCCATCTTTAACCAAAATCAAAGCAGAAATCTTTTTCTGATCCTGAGTACAAGATTTGAGACTTGTATGCATATATATATATATATATATATAGTCAGTGGCCACCAATCCTACTTCTTAAAAAATTAGCATCCCAATAATTTAAACTATTACCGTGTTTGATAAGGGATTCGTTTAAATTGTACTTAAAATATTAATTAAAATGTAATAAATATATTTTTTAATAATTAATTTATATAAAAATTATAAAAATTAATTTTTATTTTAATATTATTATCATATAAATAATTTTAATTAATTTAATTAAAATTAAATATTTATTTTTATATAAATTAATTAAAAAATAAGATAAAAAAACCTTTAAGAAATTATTTTTTAGAAAGAGTAGATTGCACTCCTTTCAATGCTGTTTCAGTATACTAATTTTTAATGGAAATGAATGTTTGGCCAAAAAAAAAAAGGAAATGAATGTTTTATTGAAACTACATGTGTTTGAATTTTTTAAACACAAATTATGGAACAGAGTCAAATTCGTCACCAAAATTATGGAATAAAATAACTTTGCATGTAGTTTGTCTTTCTTTTTTTTTAAAAGGTTAATGGTACTGAAACAATCTATTTATATGTATATTTTTTATAATTTTAATTTTTATATTTTTACATTTTATATATTATTAAATAATTAAATTATGGAACAGAGTCAAATTCGTCACCAAAATT